CTTTACATCAGTGTGAACAGGCTGTGCAGGTCCAAGGGACAGTCCTGCCCACCAAAACCAAAACTGGAATTGGCCTGAAGTCCACTTATGGTTTTGTTATGTTATTATTATTTTTTTGTTTCTTTGTTTTTAAACCCTTTTGGGCAGGCTTGACAAGTGTCAGAGGGAAGCAGTGCCATATTTTAAAAGAACATTTGTTCCAGTGGCTTCCAGATTAACACACATACACTCATTGGGAGGAGGAGAGAATCCAGAGATCACAAAATGGAAAGCATACAGTTACCTCTACTGTAGATTATATGTAGATTATGTAGTCAGCCTGTTTTCTAATTGTGTGATGACAGTTTTTATCAGACCAAAAAGAATTTATATTAAACCTGAGAGCCATAATGATAGAGAGGCCATATTACCTTTATTTCTATGTGTACATATTTTTTAAAAAGTCTCAAACATTTTTGTTTTTTAGTACAGAAAAGCAGCCTGAGCTAATTTACAGAGAAAAGGTGCATTGCTTTGCAAACTGGTTAATGGAAATATTTTTTGAAATCTGTAAATCCACAATGATGATGCATTTAATCCCACCCTTTTTTTCTTTCTGTCTGCTATGACTCAGGAGGCATATTTTTCTCTAGCTCTGTCTTTTGACCTTTGACTCCAGGGGGTTGGACTGGACAGCCTTTGTGGTCTCTTCCAACTCTATGATTCTATGATTCAAATAAAAACGAAAACAAAAATGGTGTTTTAAATTACAAGTCTTTTGCTGTGGACCTTGGATGGCACATTAGAAACAACCGACTCTTGTTTTAACTTCACAGGAGTTTCTTTTAAAGCTGGTTTGGAAAATGATTATTTTTTGTTTCTTGACAGATGTTTCTTGAAAAGTTGTCTGTTTTTTTTAACAATAAAAAATTCCCCCCTCTGCTCCCCCATCTTTGGTATTAGAGGAAAAATACCAACCAGATAACTGTATCCTATAGTTCCTATCTCCTTAGTCCTTTTTGCTGCTTTTCCTTAGATCAGTGGCAAGTGTTATAATCTCTGGTTTTCATGTTGCATACTGTGTACTTTATAACAGTACTGAAGTATGTGTGTGTAAATTAGTCTGTTTCAAAAGTACATAAAAGAGAAGAGAAAGAAAGACTGGAAAAAATGCAGTAAATTTATTGATGCTACTTATAAACAAGACAATACCTTGTGTTGTTGGTACATAAGGTACTGCCTTACCAGAAAAATAGACCATCCAATAAAGAACTGTCTAAATCAGGGAACGGCATTCAAGTGCTCTCCAGATATCTGGAACTTGGGATGCTTCAGTCTAAGTGTTCATTGTGCTATCATCCTAAATCATCTTCAGAATTTTCCAGGGCTTCAATTTGGAGCCCTCTTAAATCTCACGACTTCCCTGCCATCCATTTCCTTACTACAGAAAATCCATTAAGGAAGAATAGATATAACAGCTGTATATTGCCTTCCAGTTGGTAATGCTAGAAGCTCTCTGTCTGGAAGTCCCCTGTGAATCCATAATCCCCAGACAGCATGAACAATGGTTAGGGGTTATGGATGTTGTATTCCAAGACATATGGGAAGCATGGGTAAGCCTACCCGTGAGTACACTGATGCAACAGTAGCTCTCTGGAGATTCAGGTAAGAAACTTGCCAGGATTTACACCTAACTGGTGATGTCCTGGAGTATTCTTGGGTTGCAAGGCATGTGTTTCACCCCTGAGCTATGTCCCCTCCCTTTGGACTGACAAAACTTGGAAAAGTTACCTTTTTTGGATTACAGTTCCTAGAATCATCCCAGCCAACATCTGGTGGCTGATTTTGGGAGTTATAGGGCCTAAGCAGATGGTGCTTTGTGCCGTCTTCGAGGCAAGGAAGGGGAGGGGCAGCCTCACGCTGGGCACCCCAACCCCTTCCCGAACATGTCATCGGAGCGCCCGTCGCTCTGCACAACTGGTGCTCTGACGACGTACTTGTACCGCAGCATCTGCACGCGCTGTGGCAGAAGAGACACTGAAGGTGCACCCAAGGCCTCTTGCGGCACACCTTTGGCGTCTTGTGGAAGGAGTGCTATTTTAGCGCTCCTTCCAGGGCCTGAGAAGCTGTGGATTGGGGCTGAGGAGTGTGGCTACCTCAGCCCCAATCCACAGCTTCCCAGGGCGGCCCATGGCCACCCGTCTGCTTAGGCCCATAGTCCCCAAAAGTAATTTTCCAGGCTGTTGATGAAGGAAGGAAAGATTCTCTATTACTAGTTAAATCTCTGCAGAAATCTTAGCCAGATGTTATGAAACATGTCTTGTTTCTCCTTTAATGTATGCTGTTCGTTCATCAGCTGGTAGATCTAAAAGGTCTGTCACTAACTGATGCATGTCTAATTGTCAGTCTTGTCCCTTTACTTTAATTTCCTTTTGGGAAAG